ACTTATATTTTATGAACATTGAATTTGAATACTATTTGGGATTAAAAGGAATTTTATAGCGCTTCATCGCATGCAATTTTAATATGCCACACCCACCACATTGACACTCAAAGATATGAAATTTAAATGTCGATTTTATAAACATGTCTTTACAACAGGGTTGACGATAAAGATTATATTAAAGAGAGCTGATTATTAATGTTTTTGCGTTTACCGAAGTTAATTAGTAGGGCAAATAGTTTTTATTCACTCATTCATTACAACTCCACAGCTGAACATAGGCCTCATAGATTGCAGGATGTTTGCCACAGTTGCCACGCCTTGCTAGCGGCTTGGTAACCGCAGTTTTTATTTATTGTGATTTTGCTGTTTGTTTCCCTCTGTCGCATCTCACGAAAACCGTAAGGCGAAAATATTAAGTGAATTTTAAGGACCGATTTTTCAAACGTTAGTTAGAAGTTATTATCGTTGGCAAATACTGAGATTTTGATAAAATTTTATAAGAGATAAAATTAAATAAAAGAATATAACTTATGCGTATCGTATAGTATCATTTGTGAATTTAAACTGCATATTTTTTAATTCTCTCTATATTAAAAAAACTTATAAAGAAGGTAATCATGTCTCAAAGTTGACCAGTCGTTCCATGTATTCTTTAATAGACTAAAGAAATAATAAATGAAAAGCAAGATGGGAATTGCTTTATCAGTGTGATGTAAAGATATATTACGACGTGATAAAATTATAGTAAGTTAATGAGGTAATTAATATATTATACGTGGTAGTACAATATCGAAAGATTTTTTTTATTTTACAAGTCGTGTATTACAATATTCTTTAAAAAAATTGTTTGATAAGAAATAGGAAAAACAATTTATTGTGCCAAACCATCAGGCAGATCTGAATACTTGAGAACTGATGATCTTTGCAGACAGTTCAAAAACTAATACATGTACAGGATCTGGTACTTTTTCAGATCTCACAGTGATTCATATAGTTTATCGCTAAGTAGTAGGTACTTAGCGATAAACAACAAACAATAGTACAACATTCCAGGCAGAATAAAGTCAAATAAAGTTATAGCCTATATACGTTCTACGCCTGGGCACAGGCCTCCTCTCATTTCTGAGAGGGCTTAGCTTAGAGCAAGTAAGTGTCCGCAGGGCTGTACCAGCGCGCGTTGGTGAACTTCACATAACTTAAAATTATTATTTTTTGTCGGACATGTAGGTTTCCTCACGCAAAGCACGTGGTAAATCCGCGTTTAAAACCGCAATTAACAATTTCATTAGTGCCGGTGGGAATCGAAACCGTGTTGATTGCATACTATGATATTTACAGCGAGCGCTAAACCTCAGAGCTACAACGACTCAGACTGAATGTATGGCTATAATTGAGGTGGTGACAGCGATAATTGCTTGAAAAGTAAAAAAAAATTATTCCGGCTATTGGCCGATAACAGGCTCAGTATTAGACAAAACATGAAGATTGAAAAGATTTTAGATTCTTGATTTCTAGGCGATAGTAGAACATACCTACGCGCTTTGCGCCGGCTCTCTCGGCTTCACTGAAGTCGTCAGTAGCATGAGGGGATTACTATACTTCCCTTACTACAGCAACATGCGAAGTCGTATACCTTTTCGTTGCTGCAACCTCATGTATTTGTGTATGTTGTTACTTTTTTTTTCTTTTTTTTTTACCCTATTCTCTTGGGGTGTTCCGGGGGAGCGACCCCCAGCGTGGTGTTCTTTATTCGTTTGATTTGGTATTTTAACTTTACTTTTTTATACTTTGTATTGTGTGTGATGAATAAATCATTCATTCGATCAAATTTTTTACGGAGATTTTATAGCCAAATTATTACCCGCACGCAACGTGCGCTCTAAAGCGCTAAAGCCTCTAAAGAGGTGGAATACAATCCTAACTATTTAGTTGCCTATCAGCTCACAGTAAGCAGTAAATTTCTTAAAATATTGTTTGGTACTTGGGAAAATTTGTAACAATAAACAAGTGCAAAATATTACTATATGTAGGGATGGCACAACCCTGATTTTCTAGTTTTGTCATTTACGTAGTGACCTAAATCCTGTATTTCATTCTCTCTCTTTGCTTATAAAGAAAGGAAGGAAATTGACTTCTAAAGAGTCCGTTTTGTGTTTTTCGAAATGGAAATCCCTGAATTTAAATATTTCTTCAAACAAATTGTAGTAAATTATTTCTTATTGGGGATACCATTTGAGAAATCAAGAGTTTCTATTAGATTCTATATATTTTTAGTTTTAATTATATTGATGCTTACTGCAGAAATTTCGTTCTTTGTGTCTAAAATTTCTAGTGAAAATTTTTTGAAACTTACTGAATTAGCGCCTTGTATTTGCATTGGATTACTGTCATTTTTAAAAATAATTTGTATTGTATGGAAACGCAATAAAATTAACAAATTTGTAATCTGCCTTAGCGATCTTTACTCAGAAATAACTGATAGTATTAAAAAACAAAATATCGTAAAAAAAGAATTAGGTTTTTTAAACCGTTTGATAAAGTATTATTTTGTTCTAAACGTATTTCTTATCTGTGTTTATAATTTCTCTTCTATCGTTATTATGCTTTATTATTACATAACAAAAAATGAAATTGTATTTATATTACCTTATGCAATATTGGTACCCTTTTCAACAGACTCGTGGCTTGCCTGGATTGTTGTGTATATTTTTTCAATTACTAATGGCACGTAAATTTTATTTAACATTCGTGTAATATGAATTTTCTAATACTTTTTTTAGCATACAATGATTTTCAATTGTTGTTTTTAACATTGCAGGATTTACTTGTGTGCTATTTTTTACAAGTGTCGATATCTTGTATTATGTTTTAACATGTCATCTATGCTGTCATTTTTCACTTATTTCTAACGAACTACAAAATGAAGATTTTGTAAGCATGAGTTCATTACGAAAAATTGTGACGAAACATCGATATATTCTGAAGTATGGGAAAACCGTCGTTATCATTTTTTTACAAATAAAAAACAATAGCGTTTAAAATTATATTTTTCAGGCTCTCTATTATTCTTGAAGACATATTTACGGTACCAAATCTTTTTAACGTATTAATGGGCTCTCTCCAAATTTGTGCCCTGGGCTTTAATCTTACAGTAAGTAGAAAACTTTTATATGTATTTTTGTATTTAAGTTATAACCACTGTTTCCTGTTATTGTAAATACATAGTTACAGTTCAGCTGCTACTTTGCTTCAGCTCTTGACCTTAACGCCATTATATTCAAATTGTAATACGCTTTACACCTCACAAGTCTAGTGGTAAACATAGAACTCACCGCAGGAATTCCTCAAACATTCTACTTTAAGAGGATATAGTAAGTCAGCTCAAATTCTAATTTCGCCCCCTCTTCCCCGCGCGTCGTATGCTATGTACCGACATGTTTGTAATCATTAATACTGTAAGTAGATAGGTCGTTAGATACTTATTTCGTTAGTTTTATCATATTTATGCCTGTTTCTCAACGCCAAGCCAGTCGCTTCTTATTTTTATTACGGTTATTTCCCTTTTTTATTTTACGTTGTCCTGTTGCGTAATGTGTATTCTGATCGTAAGCGACACAACCTCCCCCTTCAAAAGCCGAAGCGAAACTGACCGGGCGGCAGGAATCAAGCTTCAAGAAGCCGATAATTTAGGTAATTTCTTTTTACAGTGAAAATAATGGTATTTTAAAAAAAGTAATTAACATAAGCACTGCTTTATAGTTAGTTCAGTTAGTATGCAAAGTTTCATAATTTTATTTAAAGTATTTTATGAATAACAGAGGTTTATTGTTTATTTTGGAGGTAAATTTGGATTTTTTTTCTATCGAGAAAATTTTACGGAATCGTGTTTTCGTCTAACATAGTCCTTAACAATAATCCTCAACTTTACCATATATTTATTTCAAAATTAATGCTGCAATATTTTCGGCATAACGGAGGATCTTGCTAAGCCATTTGAGGTTATATTTCCCCTTAATCGACTATTCTATCACCACATTGTCAGACGTTATTAGTCTACGGATGATAAACAAATTGGCCAACATTGTGACGTCGTTCATATATCTTTCGTGGAATAGGTGTGACAAACGAGCACTCTCTACACCCGATGATAAGTGATGCAAATACATTTTTACGTGGTGGAGCCATGCTGCAGCTATATTAGTAGTATGGTTGTAGCACGAATTGGTTGGCTCCACCGGGGAAGCATCACGCTCTCACAAAATACCTGCGTCAACCTTGTCATATTAACAAAAAAAATACGTGTGGCACTCGGTGACTGCCGCGGTAAAGCTATTGCATAGCATTTTTATCAACTTATGCAATTATAATTATTTATTTATTTTATTTATGCAGTTAAGTCTTTGATATTAAATCAAGTTACACTTTTTGAGCGTGGTGACCGATAAGAAAACAATTTTTTTTCTCTTATTGAATAAATGAGAAGTTAATATTGTTTAAAATATTTTTAATATCTTACAATACATGTAGGTTATTCAGGAATTTTTATCGTTGAGTTAGCAGGTAGTGTACACGCATACGTCTAGTCGCACGCACACAAACACCGTGCCGAAGTCTGCCGAACTGAAACAACGTTAGACGATGCACGGCTTTCAACGCCACACTTCCGTGCCCGTCGGAATGGGGAGCGTGAGGTTTTTTTCGTTACGGAATTTCTGGATTCGGTCCCCGCGCTCAAGGCCCGCGATAGAAGCTATGCAATAGCCTAATAAAAACAAAAAAAACATCTACATCTATTCTCGATTAAGAATTAAAATTCAGATGTGTTAATTGAGGACTAAAATAACAATGCATGTTGGCATTTTCTGCGGGTCAACTCGTTTTTATAATCATACAGCTTTACTCCCCGCGGTATATTAATTACACAAAATATTTTAGATGGGCAATTGGACTCAAATACTGGGAGTAGTTCTATTTTTAAATTCAGTCCTCATACAAATCTACATGACGTGTCTTTTCGGCGAAAATCTTATCTGCGAGGTAAAAATTTCATTATTTTTATCAACTTTAAAAATTAAAAGTACCTAACCAAAATATGAATACCATTTTTTTTAGAGTGAAAAAGTGGGTGAAGCAGCATATGCATGTCTCTGGTACAACATGGATGTTAGGCGAATGAAAGTTGTATTACTCTTGTTAATAAGGTAAAGTATATTATTCAAGAAATTGGCTTTATATCATTTTAATATTTTATAGAAAATAAATTTTTGATAAATTTCTTTATTTTAGATCGAAAAAGCCACAAATATTAACTGCGTACAAATTTTCTATAATAAGTTATCAATGCTTTACTAAGGTATGTAAGTTCCTTAATACAAATATAATTTCAAATATTTTCTTTTTAATATCTAAAATAATATTTCAGATAATCAGCACATCCTGGTCTTATTTCACCATCCTGAAAACAATTTATGCAGATAAATAAGAAAACATACTCACTTTAAATTACATAATATTATTGTCAAATATGAAAAATTAAATCTATGCTTATAAGTCAAACATACTAAATGCAATTATTTTTGCCACAAAATTAACTTTAAGTTCTGGAAATTTTATTCAGTTAAATAAAAATAAATCGCCGGGTACTGATCTCGAACGGATGTCAAACATAAAGCAAGTTATAGATAGGTAATATAGTAAACATGTGGGTAAAGCATCATAGATTTCCGAATAAATTAAAAGAAATCATAGTTCGTCCTGTCCATAAATTGAACTGTAAATTTTTAATACATTTATTATATTGGTCTACAATAGCTATATTATCTTGTATTAATAAATATTAACGAAAAATAAACAGCAAATTAACTTGGGTTTTATTTACTAAAAAAATAGATATTAAATCAATTCAGCACAGTTTTCAGAGGAGCGAAAGCAATAATACATTATTATCAAAACTCACTGAGGAAATTATTTCAAATTTAAAAGATAAGAAAGGAGAATGACCATAGATGTATGGAATCTCGTACCAAGTTGCATCAAAATCAAACTTTGTTTTTTATTGACTACACTAATCCTATTAACTCCTACAAAAGTCCTTTTTGAAAAAAAAAACCCGGATTTTGGAGTTATTTTACAAAATCGAAAATAACCTAAAAACCATTACGTCACTTTTCGATGCTACCAACGACCTATTTTAAATTGACACTTTAAACATGGACAAACATTATTGCTCTAAAAACCAATAATATTAATAATCCATTAATATTTGTAAGAATTACATTTATTATGGATTACTTTGTGTTAATTGTGACTGAAACTCGGATATTTGCCCGACCTTTATACATATTGCCAATACTGTGAGTGGGTAACGTATCTAAAGGTAATATGTATATAATTGGACGCCACTGCGATTACACTACCACACCAATATCAATAATACATTATCATAAGTGTGACCATCCAGACCGAAAAAAGCTCATTGAGTCTAGAGCGTCTTTAACCCTTTAATCTAAGATATGATACTATTCATGACAGACACTATTGCTCAAGCTCATGTTGTTGTGAATCGATTAGGTAAGTGATAGAAAAAATAAAACAAACAAGTCCATTTGGGTTTTTTAATAGCGATTTAAAGTCAAAAATATTTATTTAAAATATATTTACTTTAATCATTCATCATAATCCTGAAAAAAATCATCTAAAGCCGTTCCCGGCGCAGTTACGTCATTATACCGTCCCCAGCTCAAATACCACACTATCGTCATTATATGAGCACAGCAGCCTACTGTTCGCTTACCGACAAGGCATCTACAGCAATAACCTACTATGGTTTCTAAAGTGTTGGCCACAGCATCATCTCTGTTAATCAATAAATATGTGTGATAAGTACGACTGTTGACATGTCTAGATTTAATCCTACCTCTTAAGAGGTAATTATTAAGCCCCGAAATCAAAGGTACATCATCATCGATAGTATTATTCACCTCAACTGAATAAATACCAGTCCGACGGATGTGTTCCTCATAATAAGATCTAGCCTGTTTGAGTTGGTAAGTCCCAAGAGCTAACCGTTTTAAATCAGTTATTGTCAATTGTGGAAATCCATCTAAATGTGGATTATTGCTGTCAATCAACTGAAAATTCACACTCCTTCTATTGAGATTTGCCTGTTCAACATAAGTTGCCAAATGGTTCTCTAATGAAAGCCTATCCTTAGCAATTCTTACATATTCCATGGCTTCTGTTGGGTCTTCTATAATAACATGAAACTTATTAATTAGGGCACATGAGATTCTAAAATCATCCTTTAGGTGCAAAACCGCTCTATTGTTAAAACATGACGAAAGAGTCTAAAATCCCTTTTCAACCTACCAATAACCACTTCTACAACCCAGCGGCACATAGTAACAAAACGAGACTGATTTGCCTGCTAGGTTGTCAATTGATGTTCATTCTCAAGTAGAGACTCTGGCATATGTGTTACAAAGCCATATCCCTGGAGTTCATTAATTACATCCCTAAATCCTCTATCAAGTATAAAAACGTCACCTCTTCGGAAAAGTGATCTTAAAGAAGCTTCCTCATTACGTAAGTTTAAACTAGTAATTGTAGCATCATTAGTTGTCGCCTTGTATGGTCCGAGACAATCCACAATATGACCATCACAACACACTATCATAAATGGTTTGACCAATTTATCCAGTTTTTGCAAACTGTATGTTTGTTTTTGAAATAAATAATTAGAACTACTTTGGATAAATACATAAGTAGCATCACACATGACTATTGCTGGTTTAGAATTAGGTGGCAAATCAGGATTACCAAATAATCCTTCTGGTATTATTCTATTTCTAGAAGCAACATCTTCAACATTCATATGATCCTAAATACAATGGAACAAACTCATTAATTAAACATGTTCTGGCCTTATTTATTAAGCGTTCTAAGGTGACACGAGATTTATTAAAGAGAGTTGCCAACCTTTCATTACTATCACCAGTTCTAAGCTTTACTAAGTAAATGCTTAAAGCAACCGTGGCATTTGGTACTTGTCCTGCTAGACTTGGGATACAGTTTAACAAATCATAAAACTGATCGGAGTTCATGCCTAACCAAAAGTGACACAAATATGTAGGCATAATTAAAATATTTGAGAAATCTATATGGTAATAGGCAGCTCGCTGCATTATTCTCATAATTGAGTCGAATTGACTACCAGTAAAATCTTTTAGCTGAGAAGTTAATTCACTCCAACGGCCATGATCCAAGTGGTGACGACAGACATAGAATTTATTATTAAGTAATAACAGATCTTTTATAGATGAGGGTACTAGTAAACGTTCTGTTTCAAAACAATTAACAAATATACAGTGATTGGATGTGCTAGCCGCACGCTTATACACTGAAGACTTAATTGTTGGATTTAATCTAACATAAGTAGTGTGTAGGTTTTGTTGTGGAAGAGGGGGCGGCTCAGGAATATTGAGATCGCTACTTGATCCAACATCAGGCAAAATAGCTTCTGACAGACCAGGGCGATTGGAGTCTTGCTGATCACGACGTTGCAATTCCCTTGTAGCTGATCTCCAGCAAGCAGCACATACTCTTTCCAATCTTGAGATCTAAAAATAACACAATTAAACGTAATATGTAACATTTCACAATGGGATATAAACTTGATAAGTGTGTATTGTAATGTGATGTAATTGTTAGGGATATTTTTTTTATAAGATTGGGTGACAAACGAGCATAAAGTCCACCTGATGGTAATTAGTATTTGCTGTAGCCCATAGACATCTACATCTATTCTCGATTACAAATCAAAATGCAGATGCATTGTCACCCCTGAGAACTATGATGGAATGCCTTGTTCCCAGTAAAAAGGATCTCTGGTTCTTTACACCCACTATACGAAGCACAGCATAAGCTGCTATTTCACGATGGTATTCTGTGAGAGCATGGTCCTTACCCAGTCGAGCCGACCCATTCATGCTACAAATATACTACTAATATAGTTAATATACTACTAATTTAGTTGCAGGATGGCTCTCCACGTATGATAATGATCAGGCAATAATTGTGTTAAAATAGATAATATTATCTAATACCCACAACATTATTTATTTGTGAAACCTTCAATTATTGGGACTCAATATTATTATATAAACACATCTAATTACAGTATTATAACTAAAAACTGTAGAAGACTGGAGAAAATAAGAACATTAATAAGAAGTTGATCTTTTTTTATATTGCAACATAAATAAAAATATTTACCAGATACAGCGGAACATGTCTAACTAAAATGTTTCTCTCTTGTCGATCTTGTCTTACAGGATATGTTCTAGTTGCACGTAGAATAGAATTGCCACACGTAAAATATATACTTCTATGACCAAAAGCAGGCAATCCTTCACTAATTGTGTTTGCTTGATCTTGAAGCAGTGTCAAACACTCTGTACAAAGCACACATTCTGAAGACAACTGCAATAAAAACCATGAATTAAAGTGTGTTTTTAACCTTTTTGACATTATTTGTCTTCTGTAACATCTTCACAGAAGTAACATTTAAATATGCAATCAAGAGCCTTTTTTGGCCTCAAACAGGTTCGTTTTTTGTTAATCATTTGTTATTGCCTGTGATGTCTAAAATAAATATTTCTTTCATTCTATAAAAATGTTTTGTAAGACGGTACGATGGTAGAGATCTGACATTCTTAGGTATATATTCAAAGAGTAAAATGAGATCTGCTTACCTGAGTAGGAGTTATCCACGACTGTAACAAATTAATCATTGAAGTAGATGCTTGTTGCAATGAATGTATAGGTAGGTTTCTGGGTATCAAAAATGAACAATTGATACATCGTTTGTTATGCCGGGTGACTGACGGAGTTAATCGGTCGACTCCACGACTCGACATATTTGCACAATATACAGAAAAAAAGTTCACAAAATACTAACAAGTTCTACTTCTCAACACACAATTCAATAACTAACTAATTTCAACTCTCAAACACAGACAGTTGTATTTGTTAGAACAAAGATATGGCGTGGTCAGCACAAAGGTCAGATGCATTTTTTTTCCTTTTCTTGGCCTGCACTGTTTGTGCGTCAGCCATGCAAGAAGGTTAGGAAGTAAGATTTATTTTATTGAATTGGAAGTTGGAACGGAATTTGAAAAAGGATCAGGTAAATTTAGTATATAAGTACATAAATGATTATAATTTTATATTGTTATGAAAAATGAAACTGGCTAAAATTCTATATACATCAATATTTACATAAGATAAAAGGACAGAAATTGAAGTAGGAAAAGGAATTTTAATGGACAAAAAAGCGAGGAAATAAAAGCGGAACGGTCAAGTCGAGGACAAGCAAAAAATATATGGTTAAAATCCCCAACTTCATTGCCACACTCACATATATCGCTAGGCAAAAGTTTAAGTCGTGCCAAATGCAAGGGAGTGCATGCATGGCCCAGCCTCATACGAATAAGGGTCGAAGTGATAACTTTACCAAACGTCAGATTTGAAAACCACGGTTTATGAGGTATATCCACCTGGATCGTGCTATAATATCGACCTATAGTCTGACTTGAAGAACGCCAAATATGTGTCCAAGAATTCAATAACTGGGATTTAGGAAGGAGAGCCAAATCACAACAAAAGTTTTTGTACGGAACTAGATCTCCGTCATTGACTGCAGCTTTGGCAAGGCTATCGGCCTTGGTATTGCCAAAGATACCTGAATGCCCCGGAATCCAAGCAAAGGAAACTGTGTAATTTTTGATGTAACATTGATACAATAAATCACGACATGCAATAATAACTGGATGATTGTTTCTGTTATTGCAAAAAGGAAATCTTTCCAAGGCTTGTAGGGCACTTTTAGCATCGGTAAAAATTATTGAGTTTTTTTAACTTCATGATTAAAATGTACTCCAGAGACTTCAACAGACCAAAACATTCTCCAGTAAATACTGAAGTCTCTGGAGGCAATTTTATTTTCTGTACAATGCCAAACTGTTGATGGAAAACACCAACTCCCACACACTTCTCGGAACCGGGTTTGGAAGAATCACTAAAAATTAAATGGCATTGTTTCCATCGGCTGTCACTGTCAACTATATTAATAAATTTGACGTTGGCAGAAGTATCTTGTTTACATACACCGAAATCAAACAAAATAGATGGTTTTAAAATTAAGGCATCATAGTTAACACAAAATATAGGAAGGAATTGTGATCTATGTGTTGGAGCTTGAAGAGCTAAGAATTTTTGGAGACTAACAATAAGGCATGGCGACGATTTATGAGCCCAGTACGGATAATCCATACATTCCAACAGAGACCGTAACTTAGAGTAAAGAGGATGATTATAGACTTGGAATGCTCTAAACAGGAACCTGTCACAAAGAAATTGTCGTCTGAGATGCAGGGGCGCTTCAGAACATTCAACCTGCAAAGCGTTAATAGGGCTCGAACGCATAGCCCCAGCAATTATTCTCAGAGCCTTAGACTGGATAATGTCTAATTTATGGAGAGCTACTGCATTACAGGGTTCAAGAATAAATGTTCCATAGTCTAAAATACTCCTTATAAGGGCATTATATAGAAGCTTTAAAGAGAAAGGGTGGGCTCCCCAACAAACTCCAGAGAGGCAGCGCAGTATATTTAGAATCTTCTCACATTTGGCACTTATATAGTAGCAATGAGGGATGCCTGTAAGTCTCGAGTCTAAAATTACTCCAAGAAATGTTGCTTCGCTTTTAACGGGAACTCTAATGTTATTATAAAGTACAGACACTGGAGGTGGAACCCTCATACGAGAAAATAAGACTATACTACTTTTAGAAACTGAAAGGCTGAGACAGTTATTGTCAAGCCAAACTTTTAGTAACTTAAGGGAATATGTCATAGTATCAGACATGTTGTGAACAGAATCACCAGAGACATAGAGGAGTAAATCATCTGCATATTGGAGAGTGCTAACTTTACCCTTAAGGGAGGCTTCCAGATCATGAGAATATATATTGTAAATTAAGGGACTTAAAACTGAGCCCTGGGGTATACCTTTCCAGGCAATACGGGATTGGTAAGAGTCTTCTGATATTACTTTAAGCATTCTACCAGAGAGAAGGTTGATTGTAAATCTTATAAAAATTTGTGGGATATCCAAATTAATCATTTATTGTTTCAGAATTGAAAGGTTGACATTATCATAGGCTGCAGATACATCTAAAAATGCTGCTAACACAGAGTTATTGTGCGAAAATGCCAATCTTAAGTCTGTCATAAAAATGCTGAGACTATCCATTGTACTCCTACCTTTCCTAAATCCAAACTGGTTTGGAGATAGTAACCCCTTACTCTCAATAAACCATTCTAACCTATTTTTAACTAAATGTTCAGAAATTTTGGAAATAACTGAAGCTAATGCAATTGGTCTGTAAGATGATGGATCATTAATCGTTTTGTCTGGCTTATGTATTGGGATAATTTCATGAATTTTCCATGATGGAGGAATATTACCTGTTGTTAAAATTGAATTAATTAAACTAAGAAAATAAGAAAGGCAGGAGTCGTTCAGGTTTTGAAGAAAAGAATATGGGATTCCATCACAACCTGGGGCTGAGTCCCTAAGTTTTGAAAGAACCCCATTGAGTTCTGAAAGGGTAAAGAAAATGAATGAATCGCTACTATCATGCTGGGAGAGGAGAGAAGACTGTAGGTCAGAAGAAATATTATCTATAGATGGGACAAATGGTGGGGCTAATTTGTCAAGAAACAAATCAACTGTACTGCTATCCATAAAAGGAAACCTTGGAGGCTTAAAAGCGGATCTGAATCTACGAATATTTTGCCAAACTTCAGATGGAGAAATGTGTGGTGAAATTGAGGCACAAAAAGATTTCCAGCCATTAAATCTTTTTTGTTTTAATAATTTACGTGTTTTAGTTATAAGGTTACAAAGAATATTAAAATTTTGTGTTGTAGAATTTTTCCTGTAATTTTTTTCAGCTATCTTTCTCTCAGCTATCGCAGCAGAACACTCACTGTCCCACCATGGAGGTGATGGAATATACCCATTGCCACTATTATTTTTAATAGGAAAAACTTCCTCAGCAGCCTGTAGTAGGGCCCGTGTAAAAGCTTCAGCACAAAGATGATTATTGTTGTCATTTAGTGGAGGTATAGTTGATAAATTTTGTTGAACTTTATCTCTATATAATGACCAGTTGGCATCGTTAAGTTTATATTTTAGCCGGCGAGGAGCCTTATACATCTTTTCGCCAATTTTTTGAGGAAATGATATAATTAACGGAAAGTGATCGCTTCCATATGACGACGATAGAGGCCACCAGTTTAATGTAGGAGCTAGGGAGGGACTACACAGGGTAAGGTCTGGTGCACTAATACCCTCATGGGGCCGAGTCCTTCTAGTAGGACAACCATAGTTTAGAAGGCATAAATTATTATCATCTAAGATGTCTAACATTCTATCCCCATAATGGTCAGACTTAGAACTTCCCCACATAGAATGTTGCGCATTGAAGTCTCCCATGACCAATATAGGGCGTGGGAGGGAAGATAGAATGCTACGAATATCGTCAAAGACTTCAGTGGAAGGGTTAGGTATATACATATTTAGAAAACAAATATTATTTACACTAACAGCAATAATTGAAAATTTATTACTGTGATTAGGTATGGGTATGTGGACAAAGGGCACACCGCCCTTCAGAATTAGTGCAAATCCTCCATACCCATCTGTTCTGTCTTCTCTAAGACAGATATGTCCTGGAATTCTAAAGTTGAATCCAGGACGAAGCCAAGTCTCTTGAAGAGAGACTGCAAATGGTTTGTAACTATTCAATAAGAAAATTAGGTCACTTTTTTCCTATTAATACTCCGGCAATTCCATTGAATCACCAGAGACTGGTTTCGTGGATGGTCCTGACTGTCCATGAGTTAAAAAACTTTTTGAAGAAGTAGCATCGTTGGACGGTATTTTAATTAGGTTATGTTGTGAAAGGTACTGAATTATAGAAATGATGAGATCCTTTGTTATTATTTCTGATAGATCTTTGTAATTTTTGAGACAACCTGTAGAAGAGGAAGGAATGTTGCTGTAATCTTGGATAAGCTCTGCATGCGCTTTTTGATCATATCCCTTACTAGTATTTCTGGGACGAGCTTTGGGTTTCGAGAATACTGTTTTCCTATATGACTGTGTGTGACTCTTAGAAGGGCTTGTTGAATTATAGGGGCTAGAATAAGTAATAGTTCGACCAGAAGGGGCCAATGAAGCAGAAGCAATAACATCAGCATAAGATTTCGAAACTGGTGGGTGGATTTTACTGGCTTCTGAATAAGATATAGAGTTTCTAGCCATTGTTTCTTTTATAGCTTTTTGCCTAGCGTACTCCGGACACTTTTTGTCTGTGGCGAAATGGGAACCAGAACATAAGATACACACAGCATCATCTCTTTCAGTCTCGCAGCTTATACCTGAATGTTTGTCTCCACATTTGTAACACCTTGGAGAGCCTCTGCATTGCATTTTGGTGTGACCAAAACGACAGCAATTAAAGCATTGCAGCGTGGGGTAAATATAAAGCTCTACAGATAGGGAGTTGAAACATATAAAGACCCTGGGAGGTAGCACCTTCCCATCAAAGGTTAAAACTACAGTCTCAGTTGGAATGAACTTGGGCGTTTCGCCGTCATATACCTTTCTGTTTAATCTCCGAACTTTCAAAATACTTCCACAGTTCTGCGGAAGGTCTATATTTTCCATTATATCTTTCTCATCCCAATCACATGGAACACCTCTCACTATTCCCATGCGGGTGATAGTGAAGGCTGGAATAAATGCTTTGTATTTATTAACATCAAGAGATTTGTGATTTAGAAATGTGTTAGCATCCTGAAATGTTTCAAATTGTAAATACAATCTGTTTCTTCCAATTTTTTTTTGATGCTTCCCTCTACAATGCTTTTTATTAAAATTTTTTTAAGGAATAATCCAAATTGTACTGGGTGAATAGATCCAGTTTGATTTGGTTGTAAGATTTTTTGGACATGGACAACATAAGGCGCAGGATCTGACGCCTGGTAAAGCAACCTAGCAGCGCGGGGGGTTACTTGTAATATTGTTAGAGTGAGTGTCATCATTATGGTGAATTTCAGTGTTTTTATCATCAGAATCAAGCAATTTAGTAATAACATTATCCTTTAAATCGTTAGGGGGAAAGTTGGCAGTCCGATAGACCCGTTTGTCTGTGATTCCTTCTCTTCTTTTGGTTTCTAGCTGAAATTCTCTTTCTTTTCACCGATTTCGTGTTTTCCGAACAGTCTGTATCTATAATTGAACCTTCCGTTTCCATTCCCGACGCATCGATTGTGACTACATAAGACACTTGGAGGGATGTCCCTCCAGGGTCTTCGGGCTCCAACATGGACGCCAAGAGAAAAATCCTATTTACATATAATACAATGAAATGACTTACCAGATGAAGAAATCAAGCTAAAACTATAAATAATCAACAATAACTACTAATATATATACTTTACAACTTAACTGATCCTGTAATATCAATTTAATTTAATTTTCAAAAGTTTAGCCAAAAAAGGACGCCCGCCTACTTCAGAACTTCCCGCGCTTCCATCCAGATGCACTTTAGAACTTTAACTTTAAACGTCATTTATAAGATTTTTTATTTAACTGGTTTTACGGTTCTGGGTTCTAGCCTTTCGGAATCTTCAATTTTATATATTTTTTAAAACCGTATGGATATTGTTTTAAATAGAGCATAAAGCGGTTAAGCTGTCGTTAAAATCTCCTAAGAACTTCGCAACGTGACGCATCAGCATATTGTGAAGAAAAAATATATAAAAATGAAGATTCCGAAAGATATGATATGCTCAGAAGGGCTAGACTCCGGAGCCGTAAAACCAGTTAAATAAACATAAAAAATAATACAATATCAATATGCATACTTTTAAACTCAAAAAAAAATTCCCTGTTCAAAAATAAAATCCCCGGACGCGTAATGCCATAAAAAATTAAGAAACTAATTACTATTAAAATTTAGTCTTGAGGCGCGAGACTTTTTGGTACCACTTTTGGTCATTCTCCTTTGTTGTTGCTATTTTTTTTATGATTTCAAAAAAGCATTTGATGCCTTACATACAGAAACACTTTTAAATGCAATGAACGAATGTAGCGTGGGACAGCCACTAAACCAGTGGTTCGGTGACTATTTCACATCATGCATTTTCCATGTAAAGGTTGTTGAAACGCTTAGTGAGGCGACTGCTGTGAGGTGCGGTGTGCCACAAGGTTCGGGGTGTGGGTCTATTTACTACTTAATACATTTTAACAGCCTATGTGGCCTACTTCAGTATTGCTCTGCATAAATGTTCGCAGATGACCTATGTACACTACGGGCTGGTACTAATCTCGTGGAGACGTGTCACCTTGTACAGCACGATATAAATTCAGTAGTTAAATGGTCCCATGATAATGGTATCGTATTAAACTCAGATAAAACCAAGTTTCTTATCATTCAGTCACATCATCTGTGTCCTACTGACTCTTCTCCTCAATTGTATTCTCATAACTTTGAGTGCCTCCATAATGCTCTGAATAGTTGTCGATGCGAGCCTATCGAAAATGTCGATTGTGTAACCTACCTTGGTGTTAAAGTTGATACTGACTTCTCGTAATCCCGCCATGTAGATTTTATTTGTGAAAAGTTAAGATAACTTCCAAGTAAAATTTTTCACTTAAGCTTTAAAGTTCGCCCTGCTATTCTAAAATATTTATGTTTTTCATTGGTAGATTCGATTCTGGGATAAGCTCTTGACAGTTATAGCCTTACATTCAAAACCTTGATTTATAGAGCTTCAAGCTTATCAATGCAGATAAGCTTGAAGCTCCACAAATCAGATTTTTAAAGTTATTAGTTAATTTAAAAAAACTAAAATTATTTCTAAAGGTAATTACAAATAATTGTTCAAAATCTGCAAAATATTTCCAGTAAGTTTAAAACATAAGTATTTACTTGCCATAAAAATAATTAAAGCTGTCGAGAGCGTAATCTAATACTGGTTAACCTCTCGTCTGTCCAAAACCTTTTAAAGGTCGCTATCAAATCACGCATCTGTCCACAACCTTTAGTAGGTTGCTGTTTACTTATAAACTTAGAATCGAAACAGCCGTGGTAAATGTATACGTATCTCACTCTAATTCGTACAAAATGCCGAAAATTAAACAAAGACAGCAAATAATGTCACAGGTGCATCAGAAACGAACCATAAACGCTTTGAAATAATAATACATTAATATAAATGTATTACATTTAGTCCGTTCAGTTGCTCGCTTGCTCGTTCTGTGACGCGGCGTTCTGTGCTTACGCGCGAAGTAAAAGTGCTTTCGGAAGTAAATATTAAAGATAAACGTGAATGGGTAAGTAATAAATAATAATTCTATTAATACACAACATATTAGATGAAAATTTATACATAAATTGTTATATTTTATCAAACATTGCTTGCCATTTCAACCGCCATGTTGATAACATGTTCGTATTAATTTCAACAGTTTTAAATGAAAAGTACAATTGCGAATGGTAAACACTGTTTTAATATCATTAACATACTTATATACAAACATAACGATCATTACATTTGTATAATTTTGATTAAACATATCGTAAAGTTAAAAATAACAAAATGCTTAAATCTCGCGTCCTCCTGAAGGTCGCAGGACAGACAAGGGTCGTAAGGTCATTTACACGAAATCCACCATTTTAGTGAACAGGTTGTATGGTATGGATACGATTTTGGGAATGCCAGTGTTGGTATTTCAAATTGTTTTGTTTATTGTGTGTGCATGTCATTATATATTTTTGAACTTGATTGACAAGTGAAACAAGACGACCAAGGACTCGCGGTTGAGGTGTGCGAGTCCGCGGTGGGAGAATGTCGGCGGCGGCGGTGGGTCCGCTGGTGGATGTTGTGGCTGAGCCTGAGGTGGTGGTTGCTAGCGGACGTGGAGGCCGCGGTGGAAGACCTTGAGGGCACCGTATACCAGAAAACGGTCGCCTGCGGCCTACAAGAAATAACGAATTAGCTTGCTTTTTTACTAATTTTCTTTTTACTTATTTAAAAAAATATTTATTTATTATTTTTTAAGTTTATTATCTTTTTCGGACTAATGTTGGGCTTGATATTTTTAGATTAATCATCAATTTTATCGATGAGATGCCCATGGGGCAGGCCCTCGAGACCCCACTGCACTCGAAGCGTAGGCTCGTGTGGCAACGGTAAGTTTCATACTTAAGTATGTTGCTATTATGGTTTTAAAACTAGTAAGTTTTAATTTTTAATATAAAATATTAACGTAGAGCTGACCAAGGTGCCTCAGCTTCGGTGGTCGTGCCACGCCCCTATCTCCGATTGTGTGTCACCGGTGTACGTTTCGTACTTAAGTATGTTACTGTTATAGTTTTATTACTAACAAGTTTTAATTTTTAATTTAATATTAATACAGGGCTGACTAGGCTACCTCAGTCCCGGGAATAGTGTCATGCTCAGCCCTGACACCGTCTCCCGCTGTATCGTACGTAGTGCCTTCACCAGCTATGTAAGTTACTTATTATTTTTCTACTTGTTTCAAAAGGAAGTCACAGCCTTTGTTTTTAGATTATGAAAACATGTACTTAAAGCTTGTTTTGTAGATTTGTTGAATATGAAGAAAAAAGAAGAAGAAAAAAAAAGAGCGGTGAATAAGCCTTCCACCTCAACAGTCCCTTCAACGTCCTCGCCCCCGTTGGATCTTGGAAGATGACGATATTAAATTGGCCATCAATTGTAGTAAGCAACCCTAAATTTTAAGACAGACTAAAAGTAACGTTTCGTCTCTCGCAGATGTCGACTATAGCTATCTTCAATTTGTTATAGGTAGCGAACCAAGCTCCGATAAGAGCGAAAAGGAAGAAATGGCCGTACCATTCCTGTCCCGCACAATACGCAGTTCTAGAGACGCCTATGTATAAAGTGAAAGAGCTGACTGCTGAGACTATCACACAGTCGATCTCGGAGCCCGCCGCTGAGCCTGAAGCAAGCGTGCCTGCTCCAATGGCGACGGACCAGCCGTGGAGCTTTTCTGATTTTAAGTGGGAAGCATTCCCTACCGTTCCGATTCCTCCTGAATCGAGACGAGAACGCTTTTGTAATATAATGTTGGTCCGGCAACTTCATGTGTCGATCCATACTTTTTTTTATATGACAGGGTAACAAACGAGCACACAGTCCACCTGATGGTAAGTGGTTGCTGTGGCCCATAGATATCTACATCTATCCTCGATTACAAATCAAAATTCAGATGCGTTGTCATCTGTGAGAACTAAGATGGAATGCCTCTTTTCCAGTAAAATAGTCTCCGTTTCTCTACACTCACCATACGAAACACAGCAGCACTAAGCTACTATTTGACGCTGGTATTCTGTGAGAGCGTGATCCTTCCTCGGTCGAGCCGACCCATTCGTGCTACAGCTATACTACTAATATAACTGCAGCATGGCTTTACCACGTATAAAATATATATTTTCATATATCCATGTGATATTTTCAGCAAAACCGATTGTAAGGAAACTTCACAAATGGAAAAAGAACTCAGACTGAAGTGATTTAGACTGTACTCGTATATTTTATCCGTAAAAACTTTGAGATTGTTCTTGAAAAATACGAAATATTGATACGGTATAAATGGTCTTTGATTATTTAATACCCAAACTGAGTTATTTTAGATTGTTGATTCGCGAGTATAACATTTATTATAATTATAAAATATGCGTAAGCTTAATAAAAACCTATAATATTTTTAAAGTTCAATAATAGTTCTAGTTTGCAGTCTTCAGCTCCTATAAGCCAATCTCGCTTTAAAAAGTTCAATTTTTTGTATAGAATAAGGTTCACAAGTCAACATATCTGCCATCCGATGGTAAGTGGATGATGTGGCCTATAAATATCTACATTTTTTCTCAATTAATAATCAAAATGCAAATGCGTTGTCACCTCTGGGTACTAATATGGAATTCTTCGTATGCAGTAAAAAGGGTCTCCGGGTTTTTACACTGACCATATAAAACATTGAGCTGCTAATTTACGCTGATATTCTGTGAAAGCTTGGTTCTGCAATAACCATAATATAGCTGCAACATTGCTCTACCAGGACTCATCATTGCTTCAGTGAAATAATGCCGAATGTTTTTTAAGCTACTTTCTGCCCTATCGTTTTCCTGTGGCTATGAGCTAAACTGCTGGTATCTGCTTCACAATTCTTTAAAATTACTCGCCTTCTTACCTGCTTACAAGGCAATACAAGGCAAAACCTAGCACTTTTTTTAATCGACAACTTACACTGTGCCGTCTGCTGGTGCTTTGATGGCGCAGAAACTGCGCCAAATTGGTAAAGTTTTGCTTTTTTGAGATTTTTACTATTGGAACGTGGTGAAAACCGCATCAAAATAGTTTGAGAAGTTTATGCGTGATGTACAAACTAACATTTTCTATTTACAAATTTATAATATATTCTTTTATATAACAATATGGTATAATAAATATGAATGAATGTCCTTCAGACCGAATTTCGGTCACGGCAGCCAATCCGAACGGAGACTATCCGTTTGTGCAGGACACGATTATAGCGACCGAGTGTCACTATAATCGTATAACCCGCACTCCCTATTCCACCACTCTCATAGTCCGAAGGGATAGTAATCCGACACGACCGGAGAGAGATCAGGGCAAGACGCGGGCGGCTTTACGTGCTTCCAACTTCCACCGGGCAGAAAAACACAATTAGTGATTTTGACTCGACCTGGAATTCAAACCTAAAACCTGACGATCAACAACTGCGTGTACCACCACTAGGCAAACGGATCAATATAATTTAATAATTAATATTTCGAATAATTAAATATACGAGTAATCAAAATTCTGAACAGATTTCATGCGTGTAATACACATGTAGTCTAGCGCCACGCTTCGCTAATTTACAGTCACGCCACTGCTTTTTGTATAGAATAATGATAATAAACTAGCACACAGTCTATCTGATGATAAGTGTATAATGTGGCCCATAAACATCTACACCTACCCTCAATTAAGAATCAAAATACAGATTCGTTTTCACCCCCTAGTCTCTTGTCACCCACTCTCATACCACACTGAGCGTTGGCCACTTCCTGGATTGTACATCTTTCCTGAATTAGATGTTCCCATGTCCTCCGATAACCAATTTTATAAAAACAATATAAATAATACAAATAATATTGTAACAGTAAAGTAATAAATAAAACAGATCACAGCAAAGTTTGTCTGATCAGCTCATGAAGACGAATAAATCAATATCATCATAAGAAATTTTCCGACGTTGATATTTTAAATTTCGTTTAAGTTTCCAAAATTTATCCTCTAAAATATAATATTAAAGATATTCATAAACGTGCGAAACTCTCGATGGTACCGTAACTTACTTTGAAACTTTTTGTTTAATCATTCTAAATTTTTCTTAATGAATTATAAAAATTTATTTCCTCCTGCGTATTGAACATTTTTCTCTTTATAAAATTTAATAAATAATAAATAATTGATACGTGGTAGAGCCATGCTGCAGTTATATTAGTAGTATAGTTGCAGCACGAATGGGTCGGCTCGACCGGGGAAGGACCACGCTCTCACAGAATACCGGCGTGAAATAGTAGCTTAATGCTGATGTGTTTCGTATGGTGAGTGCAGAGAACCGGAGACCCTTTTTACTGGAAACAAAGCATTCTATCTTAGTCCTCACGGGTGACAACGCATCTGCATTTTGATTCGTAACCGAAGATAGATGTAGATGTCTATGGGCCACAGCAACTTCTTACCATCAGGTGGACTGTGTGCTCGTTTGTCAGCCTATCCCATAAAAAAAGGTTACCTAGGCTACTATACTAAGATTTCTCCTGTATAATGGAGACAGTTTACATACATAGTTGCACAAAGATAAACGTCCAGACACAAAATAACTATTTGTAGACCATACAATTACCTGTTCCGCCGGAAGTCATTACTAAGCCACTTTGCCACGGAGTCGTCAAAAATTGTAGATATAATGATGATAGTAAATATCGTGTATTTTTGCAATAACTAAGCTGGACTGACGAGTTAAAAGTGAAGACGGTGTCCTATTTTATAGCGTACTAATGAAGTTGTTTCTTTTCAAGTTATGTTTCTATATTTAAGTTTATGTTTTAAGCAGTTTTTTTTTTTGAAATTATATTTCTATTTGTTTCTTTTCCATCAACCCATAAAAGTTTCCTGCTGGATATGGGCCTTTTTCATTGTAGTGTGGCCTTGATCACTTCGCTTGACAGGGCATCAGTACTAGCCCTCTTGTAACTCGTATGCTGTTTCCCATCACCAGTCAATTTATAATGTGTATATAAATAAAATCATCTTATTATTCATATTTTCTGAATATGCCATAAGCCGGAACCGGTCGGTTTTATAGTGAAAGCATTAAATACACTTAATATGTGATTACTAATTATCGTGTTTCGGCGAAGTTATCTTTCTATTTCTAAAAAGAAGGATTTTAATCTATTTTTCTATATGTGTTTGAATGGGCCCTTGAATAGCTTATATTCGTAATTGAACACTGTATGTTGCACTCTTTTCAACATCCAGAAATCACCTGTGTGAAGTCGTGGCGGTACTCAAGTTCTTAATATAAATATAACATTTATTATAATTGACATATAATTGACAACTACTATATATTTAATTGACAACTTGCACATTGCTTTAGGGAGTAACAAGTCAGTATATTCACTAACAGGTCAGTTCGCGCTCGCACAGCATTGCGTTTACTTGTGCGCACTAGTTTGACGTTAGTTATACTTACTGTTACTTATACGGGTATTAATACCCGCATTTGCTTAAAACTTAAAAATGGGGCAAAATCTTGTGCTAAAAATGTTATCAAAAAAACTCCAGGTCTAGTGTGTAGTAGATGTGAAAAGTCAGTGCATGCTACACCAGTGTGCTCAAAACTCAGTAACAAACAACTGAGTACCTTTTGCAATGCCACTGGACTCGAGTAGAGTTGTGAAGAATGTATCATCAACACTTCAAGAAGGTCCTCTTATATAATACCAATGAATGATGATACTGAACTACTTATTACTAAAGAAGAATTACCTCCGAGCTTGAATAATAGGTCGTCAGATAAGTACAATAAATTGATTCATGATATTGGTACCCAAATGCATAAAATTCTCAAAAAAGAATTGGACGAAGTCAAAAGCTCATTAGAGTTTCTGGGACATCAAGTTAAAGCAATTGAAGAATCGATAAAAAATCAAGATTCCAGAATAAAGAAGTTGGAAACCAAAGGTTGAAAAACAAGAAATTCGATAAATGGAGCAGCGGATGCTTTCATGTTCTCTAGAAATATCAGGTATTACTTCTAACATTAAAGCAGATGAGGTCACTATAACTCAAGAGATTGCAAAGAAGTTCGATCTCGACACTGGCTCAATAGTTTGTGCACGACGACTTCCGACCCGCAGGGAAAATCCAGGCAACATTACAGTGGGAATGAGTTCTAAAGACGCCCGGGACCAGTGGATAGAAGCGGGTAAAAAAGCTCAACTTACCCTAAGTGTATTTGGTAAAAGCGTACCGAGTGAACAAGCTGGAATAAGAATCTTTATTCGAGAAGCACTATCTCCTTACATGAAGACCCTATATTACAACGCCAGGAATAGTTTCAAGACTACGCATAAATATGTATGGTGTAAAAATGGATCGATTTACTGCCGTAAAACAGACGACAGTAATGTGCATATTATCCATTCGAGCCAAGATATATCGAAACTATCTGAATAATTAACATAGTTAAGACTTTTTTTTTCTCGTTTTTTAATTATAGTATACACAAAGTCATTTATTCTTCATTTAATTGTAATATGAACTTAGATATATCTAAACCTAACGAATACCATAATTGTTTAAATATAAACTCCTTTGTAAAACAAATATCTACCAATATTCATCTACTATGTATGCATGTCAACATTAGATCATTGACAAAGAACTTCTCTAAGCTATTGCACATAATCAACGTAAGTGTCCACCCGATAGATATAATTGCTATTTCGGAGGCTGGCATTTCCGACAGTATTTGTAATTTGTTTCATATTCCTGGTTATGTAATGTATAGACAACTGAAAACGAATAAAAGGGGAGGTGGAGTTGTTTTATTTGTTAAAAAATATCTAAAATTTACATTAAAACATCTACTTTTGAAAGTTTTTCGGGAACAATTAAAACGGATTCGAACCTCTCTGTTGACGTATGCTTAGTTTGTAGACCACCTTCTAGTAGTAAAAGTATTTTTATCACTGACCTAAACAAAATGCTAAAAACTTACATTTTATCTGGGAATGCAATCATAATTGGGCACATGAACATCGACTTAAAAACTGTAAATAGCAGCGGAGATTATTACATAGATATGCTCTCCGAGCACGGCTACATCTGTGGTATTACAGATTATACCCGAATTGAGCGAAAATTAAACCAAATTAATATGTCGTGTATAGATCATATATTTGTTAAATACCACCAAACCGAGCCGTGCACGGCCGCACTCGACACTGTACTGGCGGACCACAGAGTCACAATTATTGCATTATGTAATAGTCACTCGCGATTCGCACACATACCTAATATCAATGCTTACTGCTCTGAACCGGTCACCTGCACTAATCGCGTTAACTATGATTCCGAAATTGTTTATAACGAACTGAAACATGTGGACTGGTCATGTACTGGTACAATGCAATATCCTAATAAAATTTACAGTTATATAAAAGAAAAATTCACATAAGCACATAATAAAGCCATTAAATACAATAATAAAACCAAATTTACTAAATCAAATAGGCCATGGTTTAATAAAATGTAAATAATTTAAGTCGTAAAAGAGATATAGATTTTCGCCATTGGAAAAGAGACCCAAATAACAATATTTTGTGTAGAAATTATAAAAAATACGTGATAAATTAAATAAAGTTATTGATTATTATAGATATACTTATTTGAGGAAACTAATTAATGAAAATTATAGAAATCCTAGGAAACTTCGGCAAATTATTAATGCACTATATGGTAAGAGTAGTCCATCAGTAGATGAGTTGATATTGTCTGGTTTTCAGCACTAAAATTGTCTCCACAAGCTGCTGATGATAGGTTTGCGAGAGATGCCGTTGAGAAAATAATCCCTAGTTATCACACAAATTTATTAAAATGTACTTCATATACTAAGCCTGTTCAAGTTAGCATGCGCTTCAAAAATGACACTTGACGGATGGTCGGAACTGACTAATCTTCTTCGGCGGCTTGTAGAATGTTCTAATAGAAGCTCGCTTCAAGATATAGCCAATCTTGTCTGTTGAACCTCTGACATATGGTAGTACAGCAGGCACACGCTCGACTGTGGCCGGCTTCACTCGGTCACTGTGACGTAGGCGCGGGACCCGAAGCTTGTTGTCGTGCAGAACTTGCTTGACGTGCTGAAGCTCGGCGGCCAGGTGTTTGCTGTCACAGATCCCTCGTGCTCTCTGTAACAAAGATTTGCCCACGGTAGCTAACTGTGAAGGATGGTGGTGAGATTCACCGTTTAAATATCGGTTTGTATGGGTCTTTTTTCTATACACAGTGTGACCAATGGTGTTATTAGGATTTCGGATGACTAACACATCTAGGAAAGGTAAGGAATTATTTGCCTCTAACTCCATAGTAAATTGAATTTTAGCGTTTATGGAATTAAGATGTTCTAAAAATGCAGTTACTTTGTCTGATGGTAAAATTGTGAAAGTATCGTCTACGTACCGCTTGTAGATCCTTGGTGTAACAGGTGCAGTAAGGAGGGCTTTCTCCTCAAAGTCTTCCATGAATATATCGGCGACAATGGGAGATACAGGTGAGCCCATCGCCACACCATCTACTTGCTTGTAAAACTCTTCCTTCCACAATAGATAGCCAGATGTAAGGTAATGTCTTAGTAATACTGCATATTCTGCTGGCATGTTATTTTCCTCTAGTTTCCTAGTTATAATTGAGATGCAGTCTTCAACAGGTAGGCATGTAAATAGAGACTGAACATAAAACTGACCATAGTTTCATTGTCAGTAAGATGTAGGTCTTTTATCTCACTGACAAAATGGTATGAATCCTTAGTGTGTGCTCTTGTGTGTCCTCTGAGTGGTGATAATATTTTAGCTAAGTATTGAGCCAATCTGTAAGTTGGCGAATCAATCTGACTCACTATTGGACGTAATGGAGCATTCGGTTTGTGTATCTTTGGTAACCCATACAACTTCGGTGGTTTGGCACAGGAAGGTATTATCGAATTAACGTCCAGATTCAATTTTTCGGAGTATTTCTTAATTAGATCGCTAGTTGTTTTAAGCGTATTAGTTGTAGGGTCTGTTTTGACCTTTCGATAAGTAGTTTCATCCGACAAAAGTTGTTGTATTTTAAAATTGTAATCTGACGTATCCATTATAACCGTAGAATTACCTTTATCTGCGCGGAGAATCGTAAGCTCTGGTCTGTTGCGTAAGTTTTTCAACGCGTTAAATTCATTTTTGGGGAGATTTAATTTCGGCGCTGAACTTCGACGTAACATAGACGAGATGTCTTGACGTATGGCCTCTAAATCTTCATTACCAATATGGCACTAATGTAGCCTCTATATGATATGTTAAATTACGTAAAATATTTCATTTATTTTAACCATTTTTTCGCTTTTAAAATGGACCGTCCGCAAATTCTGTAATAATTAACGGAGGACAATCTGAGGGCTTTTGACTTCGCAAGGTGTCTATTGCCGACAATTTGTAAATGTATTAAGTTTACAGGATTAAACATAAAAATATAAACGCTGCAAAGGTTGTAAAAGGTTGTACAAGATAAACTTTTTAAAATTCTCATTGTTTGGGATGATTTAATACTTACCGACACAATACAAATGAGAAAGCTTAAGGTAGTCAACGAGCTATGGAGGGGGCTGTGGCTTGGAGTTCTCTGCGTGATAAAGATATGTAGTCCAACCGGTCGATAAGCTGAAGTGGCAATGGGGTGGCCATAAAGATTTAAAAAAATTAATCGATGGGAGGGAAGTTTTTTGAGTGGTAGCCTCCTAGTGGTAAACGAATTGTGGGGCGGTTTACTTGATAGAGCGACAATATTGTAAAACTAAGTTTAACCTCCCACGAAAGCAAACAAAGTATTAAGGCTAAGTTTATATCTTTCGTATAGATAATTTATCTATCTGTAAATTTTCTACGTTGCTGCCAAATTTTTCAATAAGTATAAAGTTATCCTGGTTCAGTCGAAAAATACCTGGATATTTATGCTATTTTTGTTACATTAATCTGTCCATTAATAAGTGTAATTAAGATTGGCAAGTGTAGCTTGCAAAATTGTTGGTAATGTATGGACGCAGGTGTATCAAGGCCGCGCTTTGTGGCATAAATTGAGGGAGGCCTATGTTCGCAACGACTTGTCCAGGGCTGTAATGATGATTATGATTGGAGGTAGTGTTCAAAACGCAGCGTTTACCCATTACGCCATACCTTCGCCAAAGGTTTGATGTATCAAAAATAAAATAAATTACATGAAAATTGATACGTAACTGTTACGAGCTTGAGGTACCAAAATTTACACTTTAATTCACTTTACACTAATTAAAACTTAAAACACTAATAATTAACCACACTGATTCACTTTCTTCCGCTCCGAAGCTTCGCTTGTCTCGCCAAATTCAATACTGCCCCGATCGCGTCTTGCAGCGCCTTTAAATACACTTTTACGCCGAAACATCCAGAATATTCCCGTAGATACGGGGCGCCGACCGACCAGATGCAGAAAGTTCGAGTGTGAGGCTTCTAAAAAGCTTAGTTCTTCCATTCGATACTAGATGGCGCTGTTGGTCGAAAGTCAAGATTAAATTTTCTAGGAAGCCCTCTTCACTCTGGTCCCCGACACTAGATGGCGCTAGTGCCGGGTACATGACAACATGTCAACATCGTTACGATAATGGAGCCAGTAAAACTGTTCTCGGATCTTCAGTAGAGTTCGTTTAACTCCCAGATGGACTCCTGAACAACTATTATGGTGCAGCTGTAGAACATTCGGCACTTTAGCTTTAGGGACAACCATTTGCAAACGACAGCTGTCTCCTCGACCATTGTCCCATTTACGGCACAGGACTCCATCCTGAATTAGCAAGCTGTCCCATTGGGCCCAATAGCTTCAAGTGGTCGAACTCGTCGCTGAGACGTCGCTCCACTTAGGCTTGGTAGCACGGGCCTTCATCCATTCTAGAATCGGCTTGATGTCCGGATCTTCCTGCTGTGCATGACGTAGACTGTCCGTCCACTCGTTGCTGAGGTGGTCTGTCCTGAGCATCCTCACGGATACCACTTTCTTACTCTCTTGCCTAGTACAATGTTTGCAATCTTCAGGACAAGGTCTTCTTGACAATGCATCTGCGTTGCCATGAGATTTCCCGCTGCGATGTCTGATAGTAAAGTCGTTTCCCGGCTGCTGCTGGGCGGTGATGTTGGCCGCACTTCCCTTCTGAAATCGTTCACCTTCCCTTTCTAGGGTTCGCTTAGGGCAGCTGGATCGAAGATGGCCCCTTTCACCACAATCATAGCACCTAGGGCTGTATCCTTTATTGTGGTCGCGAACCGTAACTGTTGCAACCTCCATAGCGTGAGGGGAACGATGATCCTGCCACCGTCAGGCGGTGCCGTTAGCAGCACTACCCTCTCGAGATCGATCAACTTCCCTTTCTACAGTTTGCTTAGGGCCGCTGGATCGAAGATGGCCCCTTTCCCCACAGCCATAGCATCTAGGGCTGTATCCTTTGTTGCGGTCGCGAACTGTAGCTGCTGCAACCTCCCTGACGCGAAGGGAACGAAGATCTTGCCGCACGGCTTCCACCTCCAGTGCATGGGTCAAGGCGTCCTTAAGCTTCTCGTGGTGCCCGAGCCTCACAGCAGCTCTGACTTCAAGGTCGCAGATGCCGTCGATGAATGTCTGCACCAGGTTCCCTTCAATGAGCGCAGGTACAGACCGGTATGCTTTTCGCACCAGCTTCTCCACCTCTAGAGCCCACTGCTGCAGGTTTTCGTCGATGCGCTGCACGTGATCTTTAAGCTGCGCACGAAAGACGTGTTCCAGGTGAGCATCGCCATATCTCCCCTCCAATGCCTCAAGGAGCTGCTCATAGGTCACTTCTTCACCTAGATCTTCTAGAACAGTTAAGGCCTGGTCTCGCAGGCCTAGTGTGAGAGCAGTCATGGCCTGACTTTAATTCCGGAAGTTCGCCAGAAGGAAGACCAGGAAGAAGTCCCGTCAAACGGCGCGGCGGCACTTAGAACCCACGTAGCGAAGGT